GCACATTGCAGTGATCCAGTCTGAATGTAACTAAGACATGGATCGCTGTGGCTAGATCTAACTGACCCAGAAATGGACATAGCTTCCACACCAGACAAAGCTGGGCGAAAGCACTCCGGACTACCACAGCCACCTAATTTTCTAAGGTGACCACCGTGTCAGGTGGCACTCCCAAGCTACGAACCTGACTTTTTAAAAGGGAGTATGGTCCCACCCAAGATAGGAGAGATCTGAAATACTTGGTCTGCCTTTCTGCTAATGCAGAGAATGTCTGTCTTGTCGTGATTAACTTTCTGTTTGTTCACCCTCATCCATTTTTAATGCTGTTTATGGTGAACAGCTTATTTTTAATGGCTTCTCATTTTTTAATTCTAGGTTGCCTCAAGCAAAACTCAGAAGAGGTGGTGTAGAAATGGTCTAAATAAATAAATTTGACCTTCATGCCATTCCTGCCCCCCCCCCCTCCCCAGGAACTGCATTTCGGGGGGATCAGTGGTTTGCACCGGGGGGGGAGGAAAGTGCTGTTCCGCTGACAGAAGTGCCTTTCCTCTGCAGAAAATTTAATCCAGCTCCCACTCAGTACTTTTTATTTCAGATGTCCTCCTTGGGATATCAGTAGATATTATCAAGGCACATTTCCCCCCCTCCTCTGCAACTCCAGTGTGAGAGCAAGAGGTGGACTTGACTACTCAGGGTGAGAGCAGCAGTTGTCACATGGTATGCTGGGGTACAGATCCATGCGGTTGCCGATGTAAGACAGCATCAGGTGGACGCTAATGTGTGTTGAACTATTTAATGAGGATAGGCGCAAAACAATGTTTTTCATTAAGCTGCGGCAGTGTCGGGTTTCTGTTTTAACCAAGGCAACACCGCTTACACTTGGAAGTCAACTGCAGATGGAAAAGTAAAGGGGATTTACATCCTTTTCAGGAGAATTTAGAGGATTATACTGTTGCTTCAGAGAAAATCTTCAGAACTAATCCAAATAATGAGGGGGAAATGGCAGCACGGTGGTGGTGGGGGTATCCAGGGTTTGGATCCGGCCAGCTTTTCTATTGCTGAAAAAGGGAAGGGAAGGGGGGGGGTCCCCTTTGATCAGCAAAAAAAGAAAGGGGGGGAAGTATGCTGGGGATCTTGGGGCCTGCATGGCCAAAAGGCAAGTGGGATAAGGGGTGTCATAAGGAGAGAAACTGGGTGAGATTGAGCTCCCCCCCCAAAAAAAAAGGTTGGATCCCACCCTTTATCTCTCTCCCGAAAGAGACACTGTTTTTAGCAGCCTTGAATGTGTTGCTTGGAGAACTTTTACCTTTTTTCCCCTCTCAAAGAAACAAAAAACCAGCAGTGTTAGAAGCAGTATAATTTGAAATGGGAGTCCATATGTGCAGGGAAGAAGAGTTTTAGCCCAAGGAATTGCAGGCAAGGAGGTTTACATTTGTTTTTGAGAGCCAGTTTGGTGTAGTGGTTAAGTGTGCGGACTCTAATCTGGGAGAACCGGGTTTGATTCCCCACTCCTCCACTTGCACCTGCTGATGTGACCTTGGGTCAGTCACAAGCTCTGGCACAGCTATTCTTGAAAAAGAGCCGTTTGTGTCAGAGTTCTCTCAGCCCCACCCACCTCACAGGGTGTCTTGTTGTGGGGAGGGGAAGGGAAAGGAGTTTGTAAGCCGCTCTGAGACTCCGAGTGAAGGGCGGGGTATAAATCCAATCTCTTCTTCTTTTTCTTCTGTAGTCCTGCTGTGCTTCTGAAGGCCAGGCAGCAGGAGTCAAGGCAAGCAGAAGAAACAGGAATCAGGGGCAGCCCGAAGGTGGGTAGGCAGGAATCAGGGGCAGATACAAAGGAGGTCTGAGTCAAGGCAGGAGGCAGTGTACATCGGTGAGCAGGCAGGGCAGGATCAAGGCAACGGGAGCATGCCTTATGGAAGCTGCTTGTTGTAGTTTCATCCAGGTTCCATCCTTCGCCTCCTTCCATCCCTGTCCTCCTTCATTTCTGGTCCTTATGTTCACAAGAAGACTCTGTGTGTGCAGGACCCTAACAGGGCCCCTGCAACAGCACCAGGTCATCAGGAGGTATTGATGGACTTCAGGCCTCCTCAGGTGGTTCCTGGTCTGCTGGCTTTCAGGGGACACAGTCCAGACCTGATTGCCAGGAAGGATCACGGAGTCTGCCTCTGGAGTGTTCAAAGGGACCTACATGTCAAATCATCATCTGAAAAGTCTGCCTCAGTGGAGTCGTGGAGGGCCATGCCAGTCTTGCCCTCCTCTTCACTACATGCCAACATCTTTGCTGCTCTTTTAATAGTGAGAATGTAAGAGGATCCCTGCTTATACAGACCAGAGCCCAACATCTAGTCCATCATTCTGCTTTCAGCACTGACTACCTACAGTGCTGAGAAGCAGTAAGTTATTCAGGGCTACCAAGGGGATCTGTGGCTAAGCATTAATAACGACATGTGCACGTAACAAATACACGTAACACAACCAGGGAGGAGGGCCAGGAAGAGTCCCTGGAGGTACACCAAACAAAACTAAAAAGTCTTCATCTGCTGGTAGAAGACAATAGTAGAGGAGGAGAGATAGATCTCCCAAGGGGGAGGGATTCTGAATTTTCGGCACCATTATCGAAAAGGCCCTTTCTCAGGTTACCAGCCATCTCACTTCAGTTGGCGTGGACACCTGAAGCATGGCCTTTGAAGGTGACTGGAATAGAGGGACAGGTTCATATAGGAGGTGGTCCAATGGAATGTACTGCTGGAAATGGGATGCTGGACTATCTGGACCAGTAGACCCGATCTACCAACCTGGAGTCATCTGGCTGTTACTGCTGGAAATGGGATGTTGGACTATCTGGACCAGTAGACCCGATCTAGCTGGGCTGCACTTCTGTTCTTATATTGAGTAAAGCATCCAAAGAACAATAACAAGCAATAGAGGGAGGAATGAGCCAGGATATGAAGACATGGTTAGAGACTGGGCCTCTGTTAAACACAAGGGATTGGAACCGTCCATTAGACAATGGAGAACCAGAACAAAGTGCAGGGTTTGAGACTTGGTGGCAGTAAGCATCCACGGCCAAGTTGGAATGAGATACTGGAAAGATGGGCTTTCCTTTTTGATGGCACGTAGTCGGATCCTTTTAGAATCACTAGATATCCGTGGACGTGGCTTAAAACATGTTCAGCTTGTTATAAATGATTTGGAATTGCTTTGAAATATTCAAGTGGTTACTAATTACGTTGCTTTAAATTCATAACCGTTTTTCTTGATGGCGCTTCCCACGAAAAGTAGGGAGTGGTTTTCGTTATATTCATGATGCTTTCTCCATTGCCTGATACAGTATTTACAAAGGCAGTTCTTCTCCTCTTCCCCCAGGGTGCCCTCCCCCAATAATTGGGTGACTTTAATGACAGTTTAGGGGAAAGAAAAATGAGTGACTTCTCTAACAGATAAATTCATCTATAAAGCAAAGTGGCACAATAATGATTAGGTTGCGATAAAGTGCCAAAATGACATATTATCCTCTTATGCTAAACAAGTTATTTTTGCTGTGAGTTGTGTTAGAAAAATTCATCCTTAAGAGTCTTGAGTATAATGAGAGAGGGATTCTCCTTAAGTGGAAAATTATACATTTAGCTACTCATAGTCTTGGTTGAATTCTACTGAGAAAGAACTTTTCTTTCCAGTGTTCTTTGAGAACAAAGAAGTTGCACTTCCATCCACAAACATGTCTTTTCTGGGAGAGTTTATCTTCAGAAATCAGTGATTGTTTACTGGAAGGAAAGAAGTGGAGGATGAATTTACCTAGAAAAACTGCATAATAATAAACTTGTAACAAAATCCTGTGGAAATATTAGAAAGTAAGGGTTGGATCGTAAAGCAGTAGGAATGAATGGAGCTCACACAAGAGGATCTTGCATCCTTGACTTGTGAGAGCCAGTTTGGTATAGTTTTTAAGAGAGCTGTGGACTCTAACCTGGAGAATCAGGTTTGATTCCTCATTCCTCCACATGCAGCCAGCTGGGGGACCTTTGGGTCAGTCACAGTTCTCTCAGAGCTGTTCTCTCAAGCGCAATTCTCTCTGTCAGCCCCACCTACCTCACAGGGTGCCTGTTCTGGGGAGGGGAAGGGAAGGAGATTGTAAGATGCTGTGTTAGACTGTAAGATGCTGTGTTAGACTGCATCCTGTTAGAGTGTTCAGTTAATAACAGAGTCTTTTTTCTGATGGATAACACGTCTTCTGCCAGAACCAGATTACTTGCGCTGGAGGGAGGGTCCGTCATTAGAACAACATCTTCATATGATCCAACCCATAGCTATTTAGGTCCTCTATGGGTATAACTTTTGCATAATTTTGTTCTTCTAGTCTCACGCTGAGACTACTGGAGATTCCTGCCTGCTTCCTATTGGCTTTAATGGTAGCAGTGTTGCAGTTATTTATGGCCGCCAAAGTTTTCATGATCCAGTCTGAATTGCATGGAAGGCCCAGACCATGGTCCCCACGGAGGGGTGGGTTGGATGCTGGACATGCAGCCTGGGCAGCTCTTAAGTTTCCCCTTTGCAGACTGCAGCCATGGCCACAGCCACCTTTGGGAGGTGCCAGTACCAGTGTCACCGGAGCTTGGGTTCTCCTGGTTCCTGTGCACTCCTAGAACCCATCTTGCAGGAGTCGGGACCTGAATCTTGAACCAACCTTAACATTTTGCTTTGCTTCGATCTTGTTTTCAAGGTTACCTCTAGTCATAAGGATAAAATAATTGCTTTAAAGAGATACCTGAATGCTGAAATGATCAGAATGCCAAATACCGCAGGTGATGATAAATTCGACCCATGTGTGGGAATATAAACAGTCCAGGCAATAGCTGAGTGTCTGCTTAAATCGTATTACTTCGGTTTTCCACAATCTGCATATGAAAACCACCCTGTCTCTGTAAATGCAGGAGGGGGGGGGGTACTTTGCAAATGTGCCTTCTCTCTTTCAGCTATCAGTATTTTTTCTCTTCCAGTTTGGAGATTTCCTTGATGAAGAAGGACGAAGGATGTGTGTGGCCAGAGCTGATTGTCGGTGATTCACAGGGGGAATTAATCATGGACCCTGCCCAGAGTGAAGCGATAGCCAAGCATCTGATGCACCTCACCTCTGATGAAATGGTAAAGTGAATAATAAAATAAAACTCTTGACCTTTAAGATATAGTTACATTTATTGCATTACAGCCTGGTAATATGTTTTTTTTGGGGGGGGGGGGTTGCCATCAAGTCATAGCCGACTTATGATAGCCCTATGGGGTTTTCAAGGTAAGAGGGATTCAGAGGTGGTTTGCCATTTCCTGTCTCCGCATAGCGACCCTGGACTTCCTTGATGGTCTCCCATCCGAATACTAACCAGGGCCAGCGCTGCTTAGCTTCCCAGATCTGATGAGATTGGGCTAGCTTGGGCTACGCAGCTGCCAGAATTGGTTTCCCCCCAGTGTTGGGTAAAACACAAGAAACAATTGGATGTGGCAAGATAAAAATGTCTTCTCTTCCCCCCCATCCCATGAATGATTCAGCATAACTAGATAAAAAATGAACATGGAATGCCATTTCACCTTGTAATCAGTGCCCCCCCTCTAAGCTGTGGAGTCTTGTGAGCAAAAATCCTACTTTGTGAGCTACTGGCATTAAAGTTGTGAGCAAACAATTTGGCTACTGCATAAATGAGTTTGCTCTGGAGCCATCCTTCCTGAGCTAAGACAAAAATGTGTGAGCCGGAGGCTAAAAAACTGAGCTAGCTCACACTAACTCAGCTTAGAGAGAACACTGCCTGTAATGCCTAATAGACTAAGACAATTTTAAAAATGCACATTTAACAGAATAAGGCAGGTCATATACAAACTCAGTGTGGTGTAAAGTGGCGGACTCCAATCTGGGAGAACCGGGTTTGATTTCCCACTCCTCCGCATGCAGCCGGCTGGGTGACCTTGGGTCAGTCAGAGTTCTCTCAGAGGTCTCTCAGCCCCACCTACCTCACAGGGTGTCTGTTATGGGGAGAGGAAGGGAAGGCGATTGTAAGCCGCTCTGAGACTCCTTTGGGTAGTGAAGAGCAGGGTATAAAAACCAACTCTTCTTCTTCTTGTTGCCAAAATTTCCAGTAGTTCACGATTCCCTGCCTTCTGTTCATAATGGGCTAGATCATTTGTTGAAAACATGGTGGTTTAAGTTGCAATGTGAACCTTAAGGGGAGTTATGGGATGGTTGTGTGAGTGTATATGAGTATGGTTCACCAAAATGATTGCATCTTTAATTTCGTTGTACTATGTGCAATGACAATAAAGTATATTATTATTATTATTATTATTATTGTTATTGTTCTACGCCACCTTTTCTTTCAACTCAGGGTTTTCAAGGCAGCAAACATTGAAGCATGTCAGACATTAAAATGTTAAAGACAGCATTTAAAATACAAATGTATATTAAATACTTAAAACAAACAGAACAGATATAGACACACAACAGGAAGGAGGACTAATAAGAGTTATTGAGGGCCCGGACCTGGATAGCCCAGGCAAGCCCAATCTTGTCTGATCTCGGAAGCTAAGCAGGGCTGACCCCTGGCAAGTACTTGGATGGGAGAGGAATATCAGGGCCAAGGACGCAGAGGCAGGCAATAGCAAGCCACCTCTCTGAAAACCTCCAAGCCCCACTAGGGGTCGCCAGAAGTCAACTATGACTTCTAGGCACACACGCACGCACAAACAAAATACTTAGAAAAAAGAGTGAAGGAACGCTAAATGAAACAAAAAGTGTTCACCTACTGATGGAAGATAAGAAGAAGAAGAAGAAGAGATTGGATTTATACCCCGCCCTTCACTACCCGAAGGAGTCTCAGAGCGGCTTACAAACTCCTTTCCCTTCCCCTCCCCACAACAGACACCCTGTGAGGTGGGTGGGGCTGAGAGAGCTCTGACACAAACTGCTCTTTTTCAAGGACAGCTGTGCCAGAGCTTGTGACTGACCGAAGGTCACATCAGCAGGTGCAAGTGGAGGAGTGGAGAATCAAACCCGGTTCTCCCAGATTAGAGTCCGCACACTTAACCACTACACCAAACTGGCTCTACACCATCAAGGAAGAGAGATGAATCTCCCTGGGGAAGGAGTTCCAGAGTTTTGGCACTATAACTGAGAGAGCCTTTTTTCGGGTTGCCACCCATGTAGCCACAGATGGCACAGCAACCTGAAGCAGGCTGTCCAGAGATGGCCAGAGTGATTGGGTAGCTTCATATCGGAGCAGGCAGCCCTTAATGTATGCTGTCCTCAGACTGTGTATGGCTTTAAAGTTCAGTGCCAGCACATAATGACAAGTGATTAGAAACAACCATTCTGCATTGAGTGTTCTTAAGTAACCTTTTTCTTTTGTTTGTTTGAAGAAGCATCCCATATTGCAGGCAATTTCTTTGTAATGTGGTCGGGGAAGGCACTGCAAGGCTTCTTTTTATGGTACAAAGTTGTACAAACGTTTGAGCGGCTCTGGATTCTTCATAACTGGCAAATTTTCATGTTCCATATCATTCAAAAGACTATAGTATTGCACCTACAAAAGTTGCTTCTAATATCTTTCATCCTGTCCTGCTTACTGTGGGTTCATCTAGTTCCTTCCTATCCCATGTGAGAACCCCCTTGTGCTCCAGAAGGAGCTTCTCCCAAGGAAAAGGATTTTTTTTGTATCCTTCCCATTTTGTCATGTTCCACTTGGCTCTGAATGACAGGTGCCATCAGCACAAGGTGAGTCTCACTGACCAAAGAGCCTCTGAAGTCACCCGGTCACAGCGACCTTGACCGGAAAAAGCTATGGAGAAGTTTCTTCATTCACAAAATCAAGTAGGCGCACTGCAAAAACTCATTATTTCAGCATGGAGAGAAAGGAGTAATTTTTAAAAACCATTAAGAGAAGTCTTTTTTGGAGTTCACAGTATTTTAGGATTAATAACACTTATTAATCACACTAGAGAAGTTTGAGGCACAGTTTCCCTGGCTTGAGATACTTGCACAGCAAGTTACAAGATGTGGTCCGTGCACTGCAGTAAAAACTCCTCTAGTATCTCATCTACTGAGACCTACTTCGTTTTCTCAATTAACATCTTTTCAACCTGATGGGACAGCCAGCGGCAATGAAAGCAAAGCAAAATAAAAAGGTGTTACAATTAAAATTAAGTGGAAGAAGCCCAGTTTGGTGTAGTGGTTAAGTGTGCGGACTCTAATCTGGGAGAACCGGGTTTGATTCCCCACTCCTCCACTTGCACCTGCTGATGTGACCTTGGGTCAGTCACAAGCTCTGGCACAGCTGTTCCTGAAAGAGCAGTTTGTGTCAGAGTTCTCTCAGCCCCACCCACCTCACAGGGTGTCTGTTGTGGGGAGGGGAAGGGAAAGGAGTTTGTAAGCCGCTCTGAGACTCCCTTGGGTAGTGAAGGGCGGGGTATAAATCCAATCTCTTCTTCTTCTTCTTCTTCTTCTTCTTCTTCTTCTTCTTCTTCTTCTTCATATTGTTCCTTTTCTAAAGCTTGTCGAAATATAAACGCCAGTGGAGAACGGTCCTCATCAGTTTCATAAAGGAGATGTTTCATAGAAGTGCCACTGCCGAGAAAGGCCTGCTCCCGCTACTTAAAATGATCAGGAGTCTTAAAATGCTGCTTATAATTATTATTTTATTAGAACTATTTGTCCCCAGATTTTGAATATGCCATTGGCTTGTCATGTAATCCAGCGTAAAAGCTTGCAAAATGAGTTGGTGGGGCAAAATTTCCCCTCCCAGCAGCCTAGTTCTTGTTTCAGAAATCCTCTGTCAGTGCTGGGGACCCTCATGAGCCACGCTACAGGGGGCTGGGAAATGGTGATGCTGAAATTGCTTCATTTGCCACCGAATAGAAAGAAGGGGGTGATTTTTGCCATATTTCCTCTCCTAAACTGTAGTGCATCTTGTTTCCTGGGGTAAAGTGGGGTATAAAAACCTACTCCTCTTCAGATGGTTTTCAAATGACAGATGTTCAGATTACCCCCAGTGAACTGAACTACATAAGAATATAAGAGGAGCCCTGCTTGATCAGACCTGTGGTCCATCCGGTCCAGCATCCTGTTTCACACAGCAGCCAACCAGCTGCCCAGGAGGCAAAATCTCCCCTCCCAGCAGCCTAGTTCTTGTTTAAGAAATCCTCTGTCAATGCTGGGGACCCTCATGAGCCACGCTACAGGGGGCTGGGAAATGGTGATGCTGAAATTGCTTCATTTGCCACCGAATAGAAAGAAGGGGGGTGATTTTTGCCGTATTTCCTCTCCTAAACTGTAGTGGATCTTGTTTCCTTGGGTAAAGTGGGGTATAAAACCTACTCCTCTTCAGATGGTTTTCAAATGACAGATGTTCAGATTACCCCCAGTGAACTGAACTACATAAGAATGTAAGAGGAGCCCTGCTTGATCAGACCTGTGGTCCATCCGGTCCAGCATCCTGTTTCACACAGCAGCCAACCAGCTGCCCAGGAGGGCAAGCATACAAGCCATAGAGACTGAGGGCTTTCCCTGATATTTCCTCCTATTAGTGGTGTTCAAGCAGTATAGTGGTATTCTCCATAGTCACCTTGGCTATTTGCCATTGATGTACCTCTCCTCCACAGATACTTGTTAAGTATTCCCTCATTTCATTCAGTTCAAGACTTGAATGAAGGCTGCTAGTCATCTACTTCCTTCTCTTAATTGGAGGGGGGAGCAGTCTTAAGTTAAATGCTTCAAGAGGGGTTGACTTTGGACAATCAGGGTAGGCTTTACATCAGAAGACATATCTTCAGCTTTAAAAGTGGTTCCTAAAGCATAATTTTTCACAAGTGTATTTTAAAAAAAATTAGAAGCAGCTTTAATATTGCTTGTAAACTGGCTTCTTCAGTTTACGGGAAGTCAACCTCATATAACTGAATACAAACCAAGCATGACCCTTCCCAGGGTTAATAGTACATTATATTTCAGGCAACAAAATATTGCACTAAAGACTCACTAGATGTTTGGAAGATCTTCCCTTAAAAAGAAATTACTAATATTACCAAACAGGCAGTCGGCTCTGTTTACCCACTGCAGATAAAGTGCTCCTTGGTTTTCTTGCTTTTTTATTGATAACATCAATGAATAC